CTCCCCGTCGCCGAACTGCGCCGGATGAAAGAATATGAATGACTGAGAAGAAATGCAGACTTGAAAGGCGCAGTTTGTCGACGAGGGGGCATTTCGTACTATCATTGCTTCCTTAGTTCCGGTTTACATGTCTCACTCTGGCGAAAACCTGTGAACTCTTGTGAAGCTGGAACAAGGTCGTCAAGCCATCATGTTAAAACCTGTCAACTCGAGAAGAGGCTGTCTAGATAGGTCGACACGTCGATGGGAAGTAGCAAAAGTGCAAAATGCATCCCCCCGTCGGCATACTGCGCCCTTGAAAACACGTGCGGAACAGGGGCGGAGGTGGCTTGGTGGCATGTGGAGCGCTTACCCGCGCGCTGTTGGATATTGAATCTCGGATCGACTCCCGCCCAGGCCAACCAAGCCTTCTACCCCCGGGGACGGTAAATTGGTACCAGATTCGTCTGGGAGGATAAACACTGACTTGTACATCGGCTGGCCACCGCAAGTCATTGTATAGGCCACATCGCATTCAATAAGCCACTACGATTCTGAATGGAAGTAGAATGCGCCGCAACCTAACAAGGGAATGATCAGCGGTTAAGATTTCTTCCTCTACATATCCTTTAGGTGAAGAATCCCTCCCAAAAGCGTTGGCTTTTCCTATTTCAAGAGAAAAAGCAATGCGGTATTAGTAGCCGTTGCAACTTACTGAGCGGGTGATAATCACTGCTTTTCAGTGGTGATTGTCCCCCAGAGCTTACAGTATCGCTTTGGATCCCACCTCCCATTTGGTCAGCTTGAAAGTGCAATGGGGACTAATAGCAGCTCTTCGTCCCTGAAAACGGTTCCAATCACTGAATTGCTCCATTGAGAATGACTTTCAGGTTACCGCCCATATTACGGGGGTTTTCGCCCTCCGATGTATGGCGGTGGCTTTGGACGCCCTCCGTATTACGGTGGCTTTGGACGCCCTCCGTTCTTCGGTCGCCCTCCAATGTTTGGTGGAGGTTTCAATCGTCCGTCGTGGATGCCAGGTGGTGGTCCCGGAAGTGGTCCTCCGATGGGATCCTCGATGATACCGCCAGGCGCGATGGCCAGAGGTTGAAGTTAGTTTGTGGAGTTAGTTTCACACTTCACGCTCTGTCGTTTGAAATTTCCAAGTTATTTTTTCAGGAAGGTAAAAAAGGGCAATAGCGAGAGTTTTTACAAGTGTTCTACTCGAAAGTCGTGTTCCAGGCAGTTGCAGTTTGAATTATTCAAACAATATCTCTCACCACCTTGTCATATTACGAGTTGTACAGGAATGTTTGAATGTCTAATAAAGGTTCATTCATTTAAATTGTAGCAGTTGACGGCAACGGAAGCACTTCTTATAAGACGAGAGACCTTCTGAAGCCAAACCTGGTCAAATCGGGTGTTACTGGGGGTTGCTTAGGCTACGTTCATCAGCGTTCGCTTTGCGGCAGCATCCGTCAGCGTCTACAGGCGTCCACTAGCGTTCCGAACGTTCGGCAGCGTCAGCTAATGGGAAACTGTAAATTCACATCGATCTAGCTCCTGCCAGCGTCCTCGACACGCCAGTGGACACTCGAGACGATAGTCGACGCTGCAGCAAAGTATGAACGCGGCCTTAGCGATATGAGTGAGAATATGCTGTTTCCAAGGCTAAAAAGTTCGAAAACAACTTTAAAACAGAAGAAACGGCAGAGATGCGATTCGCTCCGCTTAGCACGTTGTCATCAGTATAGAGATGGTGACCATTTTAAAGAGCGAGACATGTTTTCAGCCATTAGAGCTAAATTGGTAAAAATGTTTCTACAATGGTGACGGCATTCCACATTAAACTGCTACTGGAAACGGAGAACCTGCACCAGCAGTATCGTCATTCACTAGGAAACGTGTATCACGCCTTGTTTGTTCACCCCACCATATTAATTCTAAAACAAAA